CAAATAGTGGGGTTGACCATCACATTATAATGCCCTCACGGCTGAAAGAGAGAGCATGTTTGGTGGGACGGTGATTCGAACCCACGACCTTCAGATTGCAAGCCAAGCACCCTAACCGCCTGGTCATACCGGGCCCCACCAAAAACAATGAAAATCTGAGTTTTAGCACTTTAAGTTTGTAACCTTACTGCTGAGCTACTGGGGAAAGGTCAGTTTCAGATAAAACTGCATTGCTAAATATAGGCAGAATTATAACAGCAAAAAAAAACACAAATACACAAAAAACTTTTTGGACAAATATTCTTAGCTACTGAGAACTATAAAACTATGATAATGTTGTTTTTTTCCTTTTAATGAGCACATTAAAATTTCCAAAAACATTATTATAGATGATTTTCAGTAAAAAAAGAAGATTTTAGAATGATCTAAGGATATGCAAAATTACATACAGAGTACAAAAATCAAATTAATAAAAAACAATAAACATACCGTGTCACAAACTTGATTTCTTTAGATTAAAATCTTTGTAGATATTAACAAATATACATTTTTCACTTACACTACATTTCAAAGCAGAACATTCATAAAAAATAATTCTGTAGGTATAAACTCATAACCCTAAATAATAAAGGGTCACCTGACGATTTCCTCCAGACTTCACCATCTCCATAATGATGTTTTCTGAAGCCATAAAGGGAAGCTCTTGATGGATGTGACGTTCTATTACCTTTGGATATACCACCAGCCCTTCAGAGATGTTTTGTAACAAATTCAATACTATGTCAGCTGTTAGAAATGCTTCAGCCAAACAGATTCTTCTGTTGAAGAGAGAAAAAAAAAACACATTCTGAACATTTCATGTTTAACTTAGCTATCTTTGTTGTAAACATTTTATCACAAAGATTATTTACATTAATTGAATACAAACAACTACAATTCACTCGATTAAGCAAGCATCAGTATCATGTAAAATGATCAATTAATTGAAATTATGATTAAATTGATAATCTCACAAAACATTACCAATTAAACAACATTATTGTTTTCCAATTATTTCAAACACTCAAGAAATTGAAATAATGGCATTATGATTTCTCATTATTATAGTTGTTTAATTCAAGGTTGTTCGGCTTAATCATTTATTATCACAGCTCACAAAATTAATCTGCCAATTTAAATTTTCAATTATTCAAACCATCCAAGTCTCATGTGTGAAGAGTCAATTAGTTGAATGTAAATTCCCAAGCTCTAATCATAATTAATCAACACATACATACTCATTTTTTATAGTATTCCTACAAAGCACTTGGAAAGAAATTACAGCTTTATTCTTCGACTACTGTTTAAGTAACTGTTTTTTTCACTAACGATAAAGCAAAATAGTTGGAGTAAATCTGATACGAGTGTAACCCAAGGTTTTCTTGCTTTTTTAACAGTGTATTCTTTAGTAACCATCAATCAAAACGAAAATAATTCCATTACCCTAAAAATACACAGTCAGGTCTGTTACTTATACTTCTAATTTAAACACAGTCTTAATTACAATTTTATAAAATGCATCAGATGATAAGATAAAATATCAATGTGTAGAAGGTATATGAAATGTCAGATCTTTACAGACAGTTTACGGTAGCTATTTTTAATATCAAATATTTAGCACAAATATTATTTACACTAACTGATTGTAAACAAATACAGTTAGTAACATACTAAATGCAGTCTTTACATATACTTATTTTGGTCAAGATACTTGACTTCTTTGGATTTAAATCCCTGAACATATTATCAAAGTGTACATGGTTCATGTGTAATACATTTCAAAACATTCATAAAAAACAGTCTACCGACAAAACACGCTTATAACTTTAATGTTGATTACAATAAAAAAGATAACAATAATTAAGCTAAAACAACATTGTTTATTTATAACACAAGGGGACAAAGATAAACTTTTCAGAATTCTACAGATTCAATCTTCAGTATCTAAAGCAGAATAAAAGAAGTACATAATTCCTAAGTAAATAACCGAAATACATTGCTGTAATAATGATAATTTAATGAAAACTAAAACACACAGAAAGTGATGGAGTAATAAACAAAAATACTGAACATATTAAAAAAAATGTGCAATTTAAAATAATACTGGATGTTATTCAGTGTTGGCTTTGCTAAGGATATTGAAATTTGATAAGTTTGTGACAAGTTTCTGTATATGTTGGCGTATAGAGGAAGCACAGGGGTTACTCAACTTTTTTGTATTTTTGTGGAAATTCCCATATGTGCATTGGCTCTAACTAGTAGATGGCAATTGGTTTTGCCAGTATAGAAAGTCTTAGAGGCACCATATGTGTAAATATATACAAGTCAAGAGCAAAGAGAAATTGGAGGAAGGTCATTAGTATGGAAAAATTCCCATATCTGTGTCCCCTTCTGTTATTGTTATCCTTTTTATTGTGAAACTTCCTATTTGCTCCAAACACATCAACTGATTAACAATAACCTGGTACACAAAAAAAAAAAAATGACCAAGTTGACTGCATTAATTTTGAGCTGGTCAAGAAAAAAAATGGGAATTTTGAAAAATTATATAAGGCTCCTGGGCCAGATAATATTTCCCCAAGGGCTTTGAAGGAGGTTAAAATTGGATATGTGAGCCACTTGCTACTATTTTTTGTCAATCCTTGAATAGTGGGCAGGTACCAGAGGATTGGAAGTTAGCTAATGTAACTCCTCTTTTCAAGGAAGGTGATAAAAATTGTCCCAGTAATTATAGGCCTATTAGTCTTACATCAGTTGTGGGAAAAGTTTTGGAGTCTGATAAAAGATGATTTGCAAAGTCATTTAACAAAGTTCTGAATTTCATTGGATAGTCAACATGGTTTCACTAAGGGAAAATCTTATCTTGCAAATCTTTTAACATTCTTTGAAACAGTTATTGCTTATGTAGATAAGGGTATAGATTTGGTGTATCTGATTTTCAGAAAGCTTTGGACAAGATGCCACATAAAAGGCTTGTGAAAAAATTAGCTCTATAGGTGTGGGGGATAAGTTAGCAAATTGGATAAAAGAGTGGTTGGATGGAAGAAAGCAGAGGGTTGTTACAAATGAAGTTCAGTCAAACTGGATTAATGTCACAAGTGGGGTACCTCAGGGTTCAGTCTTAGGACCTTTGCTCCTTTCATTTACATCCATGACATAGATGAAGAGATAGTCAATAAATTACTTAAATTTGCAAATGATGTTAAGATCTTGGGTGTTGCTAGCTGTGAAGAGGATGCTGCTGATTTACACAAGGATTTAGATCATTTAGTGAGTTGGGCAAATAAATGGCAAATTGGTTTTAAGTGTAATTTGGATGGGAATAACCTTAATAGTTTTATGAAAGAAAGGGATCTTGGTGTAATAGGCGATCAGTCTCTAAAGCCATCCAAGTAGTGTGCTGTTGCTAGTGGTAGGGCAAATAAAATATTAGGTTGTATCTACAGAAATATTGAAT